TACCAATAAATCGCGAAAAATAAATATTTAACACTACAGATAAAATGAATGAAATGTTGCAAATTTCCCAAGTACACAACTCATTTTTACACACTTTAACTTAGAAGTCTACACAACCACACAACTATTTTACGGACACTTTTTTTCACAATGGAATTTTTACTAGGTGTATCTCAAACCTTAGTAATCTTTTTCCAACGTTAAAAAAATTTGTTTGAGTACAAAAGGCTTATTTCTATTAAGGGGTTAATAATTTTTTTTAACAATGGAATTTTTAGTAGCTCATTTTATATAATTTTTTTCGCCATGAATTTTTTACTATATCTAGAATCTTAGTAATCCTAAATACCTACAAGTACAAAAGGATTACTACTAGTTAGGGGTTCTAAAATTTTCGAACCTATTGCAAAAGATAAATTAGTTCATGAGTTTTGTTCTTGTAAGATTTTTACTAATGAGTTTTTAAACGCCTTATCAGAAACCTTTTTTTTTCTTATTTCCTACACCCAATTTATTTCTATGTTCTTCCTCCTAAAGTTGATCGCAATCACAATTGCATATTAAAATAAATTAATTAATTCTCTAATAATCTTTAATATCTTAAGTGTTATTATTAGGTAGCTAAAAACTGTGTTTTAGACACAAGTGCATAGGCTTATTACTGTTTAAGGCAACTTAAATTTCACAATTTGGGGAAACAAATTGGGCTGTGAGTTTTGTTCTTGTGGAAAACCCACTAATGGGTTTTTTTAAACTGTGTTTTAGAGACAAGTACAAAGGCTTATTACTGTTTAAGGGAACTTAAATTTCACAATTTGGGGAAATAAATTGGTCTGTGAGTTTTGTTCTTGTGGGAAACCCTAATGGGTTTTTGATCACTTTATCGAAAACCTTTTTTTACCATTTCCTGTACCTAGTTTTTCCCACTGTGCTAGGCCGTAAAGTTTATCGAAACTGCATTTGCCTTATAGTTCATAATGGCATGTTCTCCCACTGTGGTCAGTACTAAAAAGTTAAAGATTGTGGAGGGCGATTGGCTTAGGCTTTTATCAGCTCTGGAATAGTAAATATTGATATAGTCGGAGTGGACTTGGCAACAATTAAGGTAGCAGCATATGGGAGCAGCACCCCACAGACCGAAAAATATACATAAGCAGTTGGGTAAGAAAGATCGAACACTTGTGAATGTTGTTAAAAAATATTTCCACAAAGGTTCAAACTACATTTCACGCCTAATTTCATCTGACAACAACAGCAGCGAAAAGTTGGGGAATATTTTTACACATTTTCATGGTGTTATTTTTTTATTTTAGCGGCAGCTGGGGGAACTGAGGGGCGCTCTGTGGTGGCTGCTGTGTTAATTTGAGACATAATTGCAAGCTCGCCAGGATGATTGGGGTGCTGGGGTGGCCAGGGGGGATCAGGGGTGCCGGGGAGTGGCCAGGGGGTGACCAGGGGCGTCCAGGGGCGGCACAGTGGGACGGAGGGGACAGCTGCGCCGACTGGTTATGACAGCAATGACAGCTGCGGCAGCGTCGGCATTTGAATAATTTGCAATTAAACGCTCCACGCGGCTCAGCAATTAAGCAAGGAGTCAAGGGGGAGGGGCAGGGGAAGAGGTGATACAGAGAGAAAAACATTTTTTTTGGTTCTTCCTACCTAAGGGATTCTATCGATTTGAAATACCTCTAATACATTATTATTTTACATAACATTAGACTAAATGTCGTATGAAGAATTTCAAATGAAGGTCGTGAAAGAAGACCGAACTATATTTTAATCCTAGAACCTAATAAAACAAAATTAATATATTTTAAAAATTGAAAAGTGGGTTTTTTCAACTCATCTTTATACACTTAGAAATATACCATTTTAATATCTTGGAATAATAAATATTAAAAAAAGAAATAAGTAGGTAGTCCGATTTTAAGATAAATATCCAAAAATTCAATATTTTTATCGGTATTGTTTTTGTCAAAAAAATAATTATTAGTATTTAAGCAACTGACAAAATTTTGTTAATAAGTGGATAGTTCGCTCTTTGCTTTCATGGATTTAATATTTTAAGTACTTAGAGATCATTTTTATAAAATTTTATTGTTTATATATTGAAATATGATTTTCTTAACAACATTTTTGTTATTGAATTACTTTTAGAAATATTCCCAATTAATCGTTGGCTTAAGAATATTTTGATTAACAAAATAAGCCCTAATATTATATTTTTCTCAGCGTATTCGGGGGAGTGAGAAAAAAAGGCAACATTTCTCCGTGGCCAAAAACGCCACACTGACCACACGACGTATGCGTAATATTTGCATCTGATTCGGCGAGCCTGGTCGACTTTTGAACGGGTTTATCTGGTAGTCGCAGGAATCGGCCTGAGAACGAATCCAAATGTCCACGTCCATCAGCTGTCCGCAGCTGCTGAAAGTTGATGGCCCACGATGAAGACAGCGGACCGGTCAAAACCAACACCCAACTGTGTTTCCAATTAAACGCCGCTTAGCCAAACAACGCGGCCAAACAACCGAACAACCAAACAACGCGAAACAACCCAAAGAGCCAAACGTCAGCGCGACTTTCAGTTTGTTTTACGGTTAGTTCGTGACGTGGTCGCACTGAACTTGAATCTTTATGTGGCAGACAGATCGGGCCTGAGGCCCCGTCCCCAAGATCAGACTCAGATTCAGTTCCAGATTCAGATGCAGATCCAGATCAGAGCACTGCGATTCGGACAAAGTGTGATACGGACTGACAGGCTGACTAATTGATGGCCCGCTGATTGATTGATTGATGGACTGCCGATTGATTTATGGGCCATCGTGGGGGGCTGAGTTAGATTTTCCTCTGATCTGGAGTATTGGTGCTTTAATCGGTGTTAAACGGTGTCTGGTAAATGATTGGATATTATATTTAAGAGTTTACTAGGATGGAGGTATTCGTATTAAGTGTATTTAATTGTTTACTATGATGAAAGTATTTTTTAAAATTCGCCCGGAAATGGAGTTTGTTGTATAAATGAATTTTTGTAAACGTAGCTTAGACAAGATTATCAAATATTATTTTGTAACCTATTTATAAGTACATTATAATACCGATTTTCCTAAAAAATTACAACTTTTTGTTTTGTTACATTAATTTTTTGCTGTTATAGGCTTGTTTTTAAACGAATTAGTTGGTGAAAATCCCTCATTAGTCAGTCGCTCGGGCCTGACTAACGACAGTCCAAAATTTTTTAAATACGATTCAAAGCAAATACAATGTAATTTAGTTATTTGGGAGATCTCGAAGACACTACTTGGAAATGTTGTTATGGCTCTTGCTGATATTGTTTGTCTGTGAATCCTTCAGTGAGTATTGTATCTCAAAGTAGTTCAGGAGTAACATATACTTTTTCAAAATTATATTTCAAAGCTCTGCGTAGCAAGTTTACCAACATAAGTGCAGTGTGCAGCCATGTATTCTGTTCCAGTATGAGAGGATGGCTGACCGCCAAAAGTGAGGTCAACCTGGATATCCACCTCAATAACACCTTAAGGAATGGCTTGAGGACTACACTTACCCTCCAGCAGCTGATGGATGGCCAAAATCGGTACCAGACACTCTTTAGCTACGACATGGACACCTGCCAGACGCTGCGGACTCTTCTGCAAGGCAGTTTGATGAAGATCTGGCTGAGGAACGTGTTCAAGTACGGGAATCTAACCGAACGCTGTCCCATTAAACCAGTGCGTACTGCATCTCAATTTGTTCGATTGCCTGGGTCAAAGTTTCTCCCCTGCAGGCCTACTACAATATCCGCAACTTTCAGCTGGAGACCCACAGCATTCCGGGGTATTTGCCATCGGGATTCTACCGCCTTCACGACACAAATTACTATGGAAAGCCCAAGGGCAGGCAACGCCGCTCGGTGGCCACTTTCATATTGGATGTAAAGTTCTATTAAATGGAAATGGAAAATGTGCGAATTCAAGATGCTCAAGTGGGTCACGGGTGGGGCCAACGGGTTTCAACTTTTCAAGGCTGACTTTGCCCTCTTGCGGGTTGTGAAAAAGTAGAAGACCAAGTTCAAGCTGATAAAAGTCTGAGAAGACGACAGGGATTGCACTGCGAAATTTATGTGAAAATCGTTCTCAAGGTTTTTTTATCTCGGCTGAAAATCCCTTGGAGCCATAGACATCGGGTCTCATTTCAGTTTTGCTCCAGTTTCAGCTGGGACATTTGCCATCTGACAATGCAGGTCTTTAACTAATTGCATAATAAATTCAAGTGAATTTATGGTGCTGCTCCTGCAACTGTCCTTGCTCATTTGCGTTGTCAAAAAGTCGCTCAATCTAAATGATTTATGCATATATACATATAACTGCAGGCTCACGTGTTCGCAGTGCTCTACATAACATTGTTTTGTCATAATTGAGTGTGTTGTGGGTGTTCCGGTTTGTGGTTTCAATTATAAGTCGACACAGCATACAAAACTTTGGGGAAGTACATTTCAGTTTAAGTTTAGTTGGGGGAAGTAAGGAACGTTTTACACAGGGTATTATTAAAAAAACGAATGAAGTTCAAAAGTTGTAAATAAATCTTAATGGATCTGCATTGCCAAATTGAGCTGTAGGTTTATAAATCTTATAATTTATCTTTCAACCAATTTCAGCAGAAAGACAAGTTCGAGTTTAAGTGGAAGATAAATCTTAAAAAGATATATCTTCCTAAATTTAATATGGGGAATTTTTGGTAACTGCAGAAAAAGGTGTCAGTAGTTCATAAATCTTTCAATGTGAACCACACGTATTAATACTTGAGATACTTTTCAAGTGGTGACTGCAAATATGAATATTTATATGCTTTAAAGAATTAGGTAAAAGATGAACTATATTAGGCTAAGAGATTGTAATAACATTATTTATTTAAAAATAATAATAATAATCGCGAAATATTTTCTATATTTAAGTACCCTCGAATTCCATTTGTATTTAAGCACATCTATTTATTTTCAGGTTACCACAGCTTACGGTCTATGCCAAGATTATTTACCTCCTGATGGTGAGTAAAAACCCGCTTTAAATTCTTTAAAGATGATGAATCGGAACCCCTAGAATCCTTGACTCTCCGACCAGTTCATCACACTCGTCCATTCAATGCAACAGTTTTGATAAACATATTTAGACATTTACACCGCAAGCGGGAACTCAAATATTGGCATCAAGTGCCCTTCAGGGCGAATATTGACGCGTGTGCAAATATTCGATAATACTATCAAATGTTGTATCAAGTTATATCATCGAGAGAGCAACAAACTTGCCCAAAGCCATACCAAGCCCATATTGAAGGGGGGAGACACCGATTCCGAAACTATGCCAATTATTTTATCAAAAGGGAATTTCCCTGAAAATCACGGCACAATATCGTTCGTCTGCCGTTATCAAGTGCGATTGGGCAAATATTTGCCAAAAATAAAATAAAATAATAACAATAAGCGAGCAACTACAATGGAAATGTCGAGTGAATACTTATAAAAATGCCAACAACCGAACGCTAATTAAATTATACTGTTCTCCGTTTCTTACACGTTTTCTCCCAGCCATTTGTGGTTGTTGTTACCTTAACACTTTTAATTTATTTGGCAATCAATTTGAAGTATGGCCCGGGGGCCAAGAAGTCGGCGGGACGTCGGATGTCCCCATGTCTGGCTGGTTGTTAATGTGCCGAAATAAATAACTGGAATATCTGGCATTCCTTGGGCGTGAAGCAAACTGGGCGACGTCTTCGCCAAGTTCCGTTTACAGCGATTTTTCATGAACCCACCAATGTTTACAGCAAGTATTTGCTTATTTGTTCTAAATGATCAACAAAATAATTTTGGCATGAGTTGGCTTGAGGCTGAGACTTTTGAGTTGATTGAATGGTTGAACGCTTCGTGTATTTTTTATTGTACCGCTCAGGTATTCCTCATGCCCTAGGCATTCGCCACTGTCTGAACCTCTTCATGAGTTCGCATATGCAAATTATGACCCGGTGTGATTATTTTTGGCAATACTCAATATGCGAAAAATTCCACTAGCAATTAAGGCGGATGTGAAGATGGTCGAAAGGGAGCTGATTGAAACTGTGCTAAATGGTTTATTACACATTAAAAATTTCACTTTTGTAAAGGTAATTTAAATTTACAACAAGAACGGAGACATTTATTTTCTTTATTTGCACAAATAAAATACTGGTCTACTCACTCCAAGGCACGTATTAAATCTAAAACTATCACAACTATCACTTCACTGGTTTAGAGACATAAATTTCTTCGTAAATCACAATTTTATGGTGCAATATATATTTCAACCTTGACTTTTCCGGCCCAGTGCACTCGAAGTACTCCGAAGTGGCGAGGTTTGAAGCCTTCTATATAGGTGAAGGGTGGCCCGAATTTAATATATCTAATGCAATCGGATTGCCCAGGGGTTAATATATATTTACTGCGGAATCGCCGATGATGGCAATGGACGTGTGCCGAGCAAATAAATGAGCAATCAAGGGCCCAAATTAGCGGCACTTTTTATGGTAGCTTAACATGGGGCTTTTGATAGCTTCGATTTTGATTGGCGCCAGGTAAGATTTTGCCGTTTGGATAGGTGACTCGCATTACCATCAAGACTAGACATAGATATCCTGGTGAAAATCCAAGAAAACTCGTTTATTTGTGGTGAAATTAAGTTTGGAGTTTACCTTACAACATGAAATTCAAAGTTTATTATCAGTATTGTTCAGATAAAATTTTTTTATAAGGTCTAGAAATATATTTTTTTTGATTCGGGATACCTATAGCCAGAACCTTCCATAATCTTATCAAACTATATTTGGTGTCTTTTCCAGAAGAATAATATTTTTGTCTAAGCATTGAAGTTCATCAATTAAAGGTAGATAACATGGGGATTTCACATCCTGGTGTTTTTGTAAATGTACCCATTGGGAGTTATTATAGGATCATATCAAATGATTTACAATTTCCTAATTTCCGCCACGATTATTATCGCTTAGTAACTTTATACTAGGAAAAAACCCAGAAAGAAATGGAATCTTTTGTTCAAAGAATGTATAGTATCATTTCAATATTGACTGGGATTGAACTTGTCAAGGTTTATGTCCACAATTCCATAACTTTGGTTGCATATGTGTATATAGACTCATTTCATCAATGGTTTTATAAGAAGTCGCGAGCCACGTTTATGGATCAATTGGTGATAACTTGGGTCTACCACCTCCGTTCTTCCCCAGCTCTGGCTCTTGTTTTATTGGTAAGTTTAACCGTTGTTGGGGTATTATTGGGTGCTGTTTAATTTCTTTTTTCTTGTTGCATAGCCCCAAAACAGCGACGCTTATCAGGAAATTATTTCAAAACGTTTATTGAATTGTCAATAGATGGGGAGGCATAACCGTTTTTGGTGTCTCGGGCCTGTGGCAACAGGTGATCGCAGAGAAGGAAAGGTGTACGTAAGATATATACCCCAGAACATATACTTCTTGGTATTGCCTCTATAAATACCAAGAGCTAAGTGTATGTAAGTCGGTCTCTAATTGCACTTGCCAGATAAGAGTTTCATGGCGGGTCGAATTTGGTCGGCTTTCTCGATATGGAAATCCATGGCACAAGCCACCTCAAGGCCATCATAATATCCAAACTTGTTATTGTTATTCTTGATATCGGGGTGATTAACTTGATCGGCATTGTTTTGGTCAACAGCGGAAAGTTTCGCCTCGCGTTTCAAAAACGTGAATGGCGATAGGAGAGTGCAAATAAAACGTGTTTACCGCAATCACTTTGACTGATATTGATAAATCGGGCTACCTTAAGAATGCCACAAACTTTGGTGGTATCGGGTTGAATGATAGTTCTCATAGGCAATTGGGAATCGCCAACGTTTGGAGGTTACCAAAAGGTTAAAATAGTTTTCCTATAATAGTAATATATTAAATTATAGTTATTATATTTGGGGTCGAATGTTTATTTATCACAAATAAATAGATGCCAAAACAAAGATAAATTCCACAATCCAATTGCCCGTCCTGAAACGTGGAAATATTATGCTGACCCAGACGAATGCCCAGACAACTTTGAGATAGAAAAAGTGGTCAAGAGGTCTGAGCTATCTGGACATATTTTGATATGATATGAACATGATATGATGCCGCCGTCAAGTCGTAAATTAAGTTTGGTTTCTTCGAAAAAGGGCGGAGTTAAGACCCCTTGACATTGTCAATGATTTTGATTTATGCTCTTTGGCAAAACATTCGATTGTGGTATCGATTTGGTCTTCAGCCTTAAAAGGCTTTTGTTGTAAAATGCTTTTCCGACTTTCACGCCACGATTTCCGCTTTCCGATTGGAGTCCTCCTCTTATTCCACCAACCTGCCGCTGTTTACTTTGCTAATGTGTGGGTAAATAATGCAGTTTTCCTCGGAATAAAACGTTTGTCTGAATAGCTTACTAATTGATATCCTACAGAAAGACATCCCCTCTTTTAATTGTCTAGAAATTTGTGTTCTTGCCTTGAGGGTGTAAAAACAATCGCTTCTAGCCTATCCTTTGCTATCATATCTTTAAAATGTTATAAATACCACCAGTAATTTGCCAATCGCACACCTTATATAAATTTAATTCCGTCGCACTTTGCCAGGCATGTGTTTCGGTTTCTTATCGGTGTTCTAGTCTTAAACTCCAGAAAATATCATCTAAAGAGGTGAAAGCAAAAACCAACTAAGACAAGGACAACTTAGGGACATGATGCTTAAATCTTCCATAAGCCAATTGTTCTCTTACCAATTAGTCTTTCGACCAATTAAAATAAATGGCAACTTAAGACAGCCTTTTTATTGCGCAGATGTTTTGCAGGGCATTCGCTTGTTATTACTTTGAATAACAAATTGGTCTGGCGAATATTTGCCTTTTTTATGTAAATATTATTGTCGCACTGGAAATTGATGGGGCACAGTGGGCCAAGAAAGTTGGTAGCAGACCAAGGAGTACCACTACTTGGGCAAACAATAACATTTATACATTAATAAATGCAGAACAAACACATTAGATTTATGAACTGGGCAATGTCAGTCAGGAATGTTATCAATCCACTGGGAGAATTTTTTTTAAATCAGGATGTGAGTGGACTAACAAATTTTCTTATTTATATTTAAGAAAAGGATAATGGTTTGTCTTATTTAGTATATAAATGATAGAATTTTATTAAACTGGCTTATGCCAAAATTTTTTTAGAATTAATTTTTATTGAACGGGAACTGCGTTTAAGGCGATTAAAGTATAAGTATAAAGTATACGTTTATTGTTTATTTTAAAAAATGTTCAGCTGCTTACTTTCTATAAATGTTGTATTTTTCATTTGAGTAAAAAAATAAATATTAAATTGGAAGTCGTTTCTGTGCGCTTTTTTAAAAAAAGGCATCCGAAAATACCTTCTTTTTATTTTAAAGGCGCAAAGAACTAATGTCTCCCAAAAATATAACAATATACTGCGTTTGAAAGATATTTGTAATCATTTTTAATTTCATAATATTTTTTGCAGCACCTGCTATCAAATTTCCAAGAATATTATTTTCTTAAAATAAGAAAATCAAATTTTTAAATCATTTTTTAAATTTTTTTTTGGCTACTTCTTAAGTCTTATGTTCACATTGCTGGGTTTGGAGGATAACCACCCACCCACTTGCCATCCCCCACCTACCACCCACCACCCACCGCCAGCCACCCACTTTTCCCCACCTGATAGTAGCCGCAGCAGACGAAGCTCCGCAATCTTATCGGACCTGCTCTTATTGATTAATATAAAGATACTGACAGCCCAATAGTCGCACTGCTGGCGGGTGTGGGTATGGGTATCTGTATCTGTATCTGTATCTGTATCTAAATGGGGAAGGCTAAGCACAGACCCTCCGGAGTTCGTGGAGCACCTTTCTCACCTGGCTGCCGGCGCTTCGAACTGACATCTAGAGCAAACAGAAAGACACAATTATTTTTTCATATTATTGTTATTTGTTATAATCGCAGATATGGGGCTCCTTTTGGACTGTCCTATCTGACACGCATTTCTCTGCCTTTGGCGCCCTCACAGTGTCGATAAAGGCGGCATTGAATGAGTGACAGTGCACTGAGCGAAATTCCACGGCCAGGGTTTGGGTTTGTCTGGCCCCAGCTATTTGCGCACTTAGATAAGCGTCTTTTTGGCAGCACATCAAAAGTGATAATCGATTGGTTTTCAGGTGGTTTTTGTTTGCTGCTGTAGCGTTTAGGAAGCTTTTGTTTCTTGCGGGCAGTTTTTATGGGGCGGAATTATCGCGAAACGGAAATATAATGGCTTCTGTTCAATAAAGGGGATATCGGTAATTATTCTTAATAAATGTGCGTTTGGAACTTTGTGTTGAAATGGTCTGTTAACGGCCTTATCAACTCAATATACTTCTTGCGAATTGGTTTCAAAAGGTTTCTCAAAGCAGTAAAATAAAAATGGAATGTGGCCAAACGATTTATTATAACTAAAATGTTGAAAATGCTTTAAAGACATATATTTTGTACTATCTTGATTTATAGGTAATTTTTTGTTTTTTATAAGCCATTTTTATTAGTTTCGGGCTACCAATAAGTGAGTTTAAAATTGGTAACGCCTGCAGCTTTATAAAATGGGACTCCCCGTGATCACTTTTTCTGTTGTGCAACCAACCCAGGCACTCCCACCTGTCTTTGCCATACATTATGTCAACCGCAAGTGACCCACTTGTAGATCCCCTGACTCCGCCTATTTTACTGTCTTCCAACTCACAAAAGCCCCACAGGAACCAGAGCTTTATTTTTGGGTTATATGCACAGACAACTCTCCCTTTCTTACTGCCCTTTATCACAATCCAAACTTCCGCTCAGTGTATCCCCGCCCCCATTTTTATGGGGCGTTCTGAGGGCAGTTGAGCGCCAGGCGGCCTTTTTTTGATTGTGATTGTGCTGACAACAGAACCAGGGAAAGAAAGACAGCCGACGAGCTGTTTATGATGATGATTTCTGCCATATTCCATATGCCACATGCCATATTCATGCGTTACATGTTACCATGATTTAGATGTTTTGGCTACGTCTGGACTGGAAAACGGTTATAAACACGACTATTTGAGCTGCATAATTACTGCCTGTTGTTTATTTCCTGTAACATGCAAGGCGAAGCCCACGGAGAACCCTCCTCATCGTCTCAAGACAAACAGAAAATAGGTCTATTCATGGGGGCTTATAAAGCTGTTCCGTTATTGCAAAACGCATTTTGTCTTATCAGTGAGGCAACTGTTGGCTAAAGAACCCAAAAGGCTCTCGGAATATTCCACATTGCGAAGCATATATTTGTCTATCAACAGATACAAAAGACTGGAACTCAATTATGGAACTTGTGACTCAGACGGTCTCTTTCCATACCAAAACTCTGCACACCTTTTGGATTCCAAGGGCTAATTCTCAGCAATTTCATCCGTGCTATTTTGTTATCCATGGATCGACACCGTTTAACATTCCGCTTTTAGCTGGCTTAAGTTCTTAATTTGAAAGGGGTTAGAAAAGATAATGTGGTCTTAACTGAGGTCTGTAATGTAAATATTTATTCCTAAGGAATTCCAAATATTATCTGGCCTCTCAAAAATTCCACAATAATAAGGAATAAGTATATTCTTTAAATGGTATAGATCACGAGATTAATAGACATTAATTATATTATTATAAAAACCCCAACATTTTATAAGCGTTACATTTTTTGTTAGCTAAGTTTAAAAAATATCATATCATTTCCCCGCAATTCTTAGCCATTACAAACAGGGTATAATGACTTCGATCATTGTTTGTGATTTCGCAACAGTCGTATTTTGTTGGCGCAACTTACCGACACGAGAATCAAATCAATTAGTACGCTTGTCAAATACTGTGTTGTATTTTGGATTACCAACTGAAGCAACATTTTTGGCGATATCGATAAAACGATAACAAGCAACGCGTGGCTGGCTCAACTGTACTTAATAGCACTCTAGTCTTGTGTTTCTATATTTTACTTTAGATAAAAAATCCAAATTTAGGGTAAATAAATAGATAATGCCAAACTTGACCACATTTTACATATGGCAACTGATGCTATTTTTGTTTATTTCCGCTGCAGGGGAATTAAAAACCGATCGGTTTGGCTTAAACCTAATCCAAATGACCATCGTTCTATTTTAGTGCATTGGTTCCAAAAAAGAAATGCGATTGCCAAGGTTAGTTATCGATGTGACTTAGGTCAGTCACATGTGTTAACTATGGAAGGAGTACAGTCGCGTACAATAAGCTGAGACAGTGCAGCCTCGATGGGTTGAACTTTAGGCTGTGATTACAGAGCTCAATTAAAATACCTACCCGATAAATGGCCTGAAGTACTGGTACTCGAGTCCCCCACTCGATCGCACATTTTGCAGTGCCGAATACCCTTATCGATCCATCTAGGCGAACGACCTTACCTCGGGGTCTTGACTCCGCACCCTCGTTATGCAAGTCCCTGCCCGACTTTGGCCAAATATTTTAGCCATGACTAGGCGAGAGGGCCTGGAATGTTAACTGCTATCTGTTATCAGCCATTTGCGTCGCTTCCGCGTCATTTGATTGATCAAAGAATGTTCAGGCAGCAAACCCTTTTTGCGTTGTAAACCGAAACTTGGGGATCTGAGGGCCCGACACTCGAGAGCCCCGGGACTGATGTTACCGTCTGATTCGGAGCTGATAAAATGCCAAGGCGTTTATTGTATTTGACTTGATTTGTTTGGCATTGTCTTTGTCTATGTAATTGCTGTCTACAGAACTAGATTTCTCGGAACTGTCCGATGGCCAAATACTAGAGACGAGTGTGTAGGATTACGGGCTACCACTAACTGTAATTTCAGTTAGCTGAACAACTCTCCACAGACAGGTGATTCAGAGTCGGATGGACTTTTGGACTCCGGGTCCAAGTTATTTTAGCTTTACAAAGATGGGTCTGAAATGGAAAGAATACAAGTTACAATAGAAGTTACAATATATTATACACCTATATTCTTAAAAATAGAAAAAAGTCAAGTATTCAAATCAAGAGCTCCGGCTTTATCCTTCAGTTTTGAATATTTGGAACCAGCATGCGTTTGCAAAAATTCCTGTGTTGCATGCCCTTGAAATATGGCGTGATTTCGGCTGGCGTTACATTCGGCTTTGTGGACTTTATCATAGGCTGCGTTGGGTGGCATATGATTGTCACAAATGAATATCCGAACTATGCCGTCGAGTTTTTTAGGACCATGGACACCCAAATCTGTGTGGCTGGATTTTCGACAGTTGCATGGTTGTTGATGACCAATAATATCCTTCTGATCTATGCTACGATTTACGTGAGTCAAAGGTGTCGTTCGAAACTAGAAACAATATCATTCTTATGATTCATCTGTATCTAGAATAAGCTTCTGTTTGTTGGAACCTGGCTGTTGATAAACTATTTGGTGTTTTTGTGCACTCTCGTCACCGTGTTGTTGGATCCCTTTGCATCCCTCAGAATTGGTAATATGGGAATAGGATATCTAGCACTATAATGACAAAGTTTGTTTTTAGCTTATCTCGGATACTGTTTGATCGTGGTGAAGTCCTACTATTCTGAACTTACCGTTGTTGAGGATTCAGAATCTGTGTCCAGCAGAGGTGCATCCGAAAGTGAAGATGAATCCAACGCATAGCACTTTAAATCTGACTAAGTTTTTAAAGCTAAAATATATTATATCTTGTTAAAATTCTTAACTTATTTCCTTATGGGAAATCGGAACTCCTTTAATGTGTTTGGTATATACTACAAACGTATGGTAACAAATGAAAGGGTCTTTTGAAAAAAAGGGAATTCTTGGCATATATTGATAACTAAAAGTTAAAAAGCTTACATTTTGTATTAAAATCAATTTAAACGAACTTAACCGTTCAAGTTGCGATAGTACTTATTTTATTAATAATTTTTTTTTAAAATATTTTTATCACCGAACCGATCTTTACAATCCCCCAATAAAACTGAGGCTTACTGTGTATTTATCTTCCTCCTTCCTGAAAGGCAAACAGGATTAAGCGATAATGAAACTGCACTTTCCGAAAATGCCGTCAAAAGCCCCGCTTCAGACTCATTAAAAATCCATTAAACTCGATAAAAAGAGAGGGAGATGGAGGCTGCCCCAGAAAGAGAGAGACAGAGAGCGGAATAAGCACTTCTTAATAAGCTTTACACACAAATGTGGAGCACTTGGTGACAGTTCCCGGCCACTTTTTGGGTTTTTTTTCCTCCAAAAGGGTGAAGTCAACACAGGCCTAAAGAAAAATAAAATAAAAGTCAAAAGTCGAGGGCCGGCCACTTAAAAGCTCATTTTGTGAGTGCATTTCGGTGTTGCATATGCAAATAAATCATTCCGTTTCCAATTCGGATTTCGTGCTGCTCATGAGATATGCAAAAAATTACGAGTAAATGAGCTCTGAAATCGTTTTAACTACAAATGAGCCAAATCAGAGGTGATCACGAGCAGTTTATGGTTACGCATTCATTATAAATTAAGCAGTATATTAATGAATAATTCGACTAACTAATTTAACTTTAAGAAAAAACAGAAGGGATTTTTAAAAGTAATGTGGCATTTTTAAGTGATGAAGCATTAAAAAAAGATACATATCAAAAGTCACCTAGACTTGATCAGATACATGCAAATTATGAGGCGTTCATTAACTTTAGTAAATTAAAATCAAAAAAATTGTTATAACACTTTAAAAGCATATTTACTAGATAATGAATAATTCAGTAAATTCATTAGAAGCGATTCATAAACTGTTCATTGAAAACAATGTGACAAATATCTTAAAAAATTTAATTTAAACAGTCATTTCCTTTTACATTATATTTTTTAGTTTCGAAATGGACGTCAAGAATAGTGAATAATAATAATAGTAAAATAATTCAAAAAAACTATTTCCGCTTAAAATATACTTTTACATATAATTTGAATAATAAGCATTGTCATAGAGGGGTGACACACTTAAACACCAGTTTCCTTTCATAATCCTAATCATAGTGATTCAGGCTTTAGAGAACCTTAATATCTACCTACCACATACATTAGCAGATGGGCTAAGTGAGTCATATTTTAAATGTTTCGCAAACAACCATTTCCTTTCTACTTACAAGTTCAAGCACACATTTCCTTTCCTAGTATATTAACTCGTGTAATTTAAACAAAAATCACTGTTGTAGACGGCTAACAATTAATAGTATTTAATTTAATAGTGACTCATCGGAATAACCAATACAGCATGTTTGTACTAACATCCAGTTATAATGAGCATGGCTTTAGAGAGCCATAAAACCTATTTACCAGATACAGATACAAATACCAGATACAGTTGCGGCTGGGTTGAATGACACCCTCGAGTGCAGCTCACACACTGTGTCAAACATTTATCAGGCAATCGATAAGGAAAGGAGCTCAGCCGATTCGATGCGATCCGCTCCGCTTCGCTACAAAGTTGGGGATAAAGTTATCAACGACATAACTCCCGATACAAAGCGGTTCGGTTTCACAACTCACAACTTTGTTTAATGATTGGCATAAAATTCACTTTCCGACTGCCTGCCGTGCGTTTTATGCCCTGGATGTGAATCGGAGTCCTAAAGCCCCCGATCCAAGCTGCCGACTTCTACTCTAGAATTTATGCGGTGCCATTAAAGAAGTATCCATAAAACGTTGCGCTTAATTAAAATGCCACGTAACGCGTTTAACCCCAGGATGGCGTTCAAAGTTGAGTTTGCAAATCGCTGGCGGGCAACCTATATTTATGGCTACAAAAATCGGCATCCTTTTTCAGCGCCTAATGAGATTTTCACAAAAGCAAAAATCATAATTTCCACGCGCAACGAAGCGCAACAAATTGCCCTTTTGCCAGGGGGGCGTGGCATTTGCCACAGTTTCGGTCGCGGCTAGTCACACCCATTTCTGGAAAATAAAAGAGGCAAGTAGAGGTGGTTTTCAAGTGGAATGAAATACTCAAGTTTAAATATAGGCATTAGGCTATGCCTCTAAATATTTATAAATATATCATAATATTATATTTCTGAAAACTCGCCTTATTTTGACCTTGACCGCTTCTTTGAGTGTCGATTATAACACTATCTGACTCGAAGGGATTTTCATTTTCGTCTGGCACTTATTTTCAGGCAGCTGACAAGAAAATCGTTCACTCTCACTTTTAACTTCACTTTGAAACCGGGAGGTGACAACTTTGATTCGTAGATTAAGTGGCCTTAAACAAAACATATTTATGGATGCTACTCAAATGTGGAATTTAAAAATGACGTGTTTAGCCGTAAAAATTAGTGATATTTCTTTCTAGGCATTCCCGTGTTCATCCGCTAAATATAAAGTATACACTATTTGTTTGCCAATGGAATTTGATTTATCATCGTTGACTAGCAAGTATCTGATCGAATGCAGATGGAATTTCATTATTCTATATCAGAGTTTCATATGTCTGAAAGTAAATCTTATCGTGCTGGACAAGCGAAGAAGTCACTCCCATTTTGATTTGTGTTTTGTTTAGTACTCGAGCACCGAATCTGTTTTATGACGGGAAGCGAATTCAGATTAGGAAATCAATCCACTACAAATTGTTGGCCTCGTTCACAACAATTTGACGCCATGATTATCTATTGAATTCCCATGGGCAAACTGGTAAATATTAATAATCCGCCGCGTTGTACCGCTTATGCAATGAGCCGTGGCAATTACAGATTTCCTTGCGATTGCCCGCCCATCCAGGCGTAAGTAATGGAGGGGCGCCGCAAAATTTGATATCCGAATGTATCATTAAAATCTGAAATTTTCTGCACATTAAACAAGCCACGAGATACTGTAGTATCTGTGGCTTTCGGGGCCCTATCTGTCTGTGTCCGCATATCAATTTCACCCCAGGACACTCTGCACCCCAGGAGCTTGATATCTCGGCGGACGGAGCTTGTGTCTTGAACCCTTTCGTCGCATAAGGCAACATAATTCGCTTCCGTTTGCCAATCCAAATAAAAAAAAAAGCCAAGAAAAAACGCATAAGGATAAGTGCACTGCGAAAAATTAGTGAAATTAGTTTTTTAAACTATAGATATTTCGATATTCTGATCTCTAAGGAACAAAAGAAGGTTTTGGTTAATAAATACTTAAATCCCATATGCATACATGCGCTACATTCCATTGATTTCATGTTATACAGAACAAGAATAATCTTAAAAATTAAATATTCCTTAATTATTATCCTTATAAGCTTCACCTATACAAAAACTGGAGTCGTACAAAATATTGTATTTTAAGATGGATATGATTAAGGGAACTAAACTTTACCGATATTTATTTTAGGGATCTGAATAGTTTTAAAAACTATTTTTGTTTCAGATGATCTAATTTAATGTATCATTATAATTTTTGTAGAATTTTGTCTTTTATTTCTTACCTGTTTTTTTGTGTCAGTGCAGCAGAAGTAGCAGGGAGGATTGCCAGTCCTTCGACAGCTTCCTTTTGCGGTTCCCCCGCCGCTCTGCCCCCCTCCCCTGCATTTGTGTGTCAGTTGCCAGTTTCGCGTCTTTCCGCTTCCGCTTTTACGTGCCACTGACGTCGGCGACTCGACCCAAAGCGACCCCATAAATCCGCTCACTGTTTGTCTTAGATCGTCCCACTCCCATTTCCCATTTCCCTCCTCGTAACTTTCCTCGTCGCCAGCTATCCTACACATATTTATTTTTCTTTTAAATGTGTTTTTTGTTGATTTTATTGCATCGCCCTGGCAGTTCAATGAACGCATTTGCCGGCGCCATTTGCCAAGTCATCCCCTGCCCCACCCCCCCTTTTTTATATGGCTCCTGCTATGGCCAAAATAAAAAAAAATACCCTCCTTGGCACGTTGTTTTTCTTAAATTTCAAATATTCCAACATATTACATTCTCATACTCGTCGGAGGCACGCAAACATTTTGGCGCACATTTCCGCAGGAAAATGGCAGCCGAAATGCCAAAAGGCCAGCGGACCAGGTGGCAATGGTGGGTGGGTGGCGAAAGTGGGTGCTTTCTAAGGGGGTGGGGCGACCTTTTACAGCATGTTCATGCCGTTTGACATGCAACTTGGGGCGCAGTGGGGTCGGCGGCAAGGGAGAGCTATGGCTAGACTCATTACGCAAAAGGGGGCGATTTTTTGAGGCAACCAACAGTGGCACAACTTATTGGTCCAATCATAAAAAATATAAAATGTAATACATTTTGAAGAATTGTCCTTAAACTGTCCTTAAAAATCAAATAATCAAACTAAATTTTCCCTTTAAGAATATTAAACATGTTTTGAGCATCTAAGAAATCTCAAAAAATGTATATTGTAAAAAATGTCTTATAAAATATTTATTGTGCTTAAAAAATTACATTCCCTTTTAAAGAACATTAAATAAAAAATATTTTGAAGAGCTAAGGCTGCACAAAATATAAGATATGTATAAAAATCTTTTATAAAAGATTAAATGTACTTTTAAAACCCACACCCCCTTCTAAAGGCTTTCTTACCCATATTTAAATATTTAAAAAATCCTTTACACTTTCTTTTCCAGTAGTTATGGCTAACTGACCCACTGTCCGAACATTGGACACTCCATTTTCCCCTTTCACCGGACTCGTCCATTATGTTATTACATT